TTAATATATTTTTAATAGAAAAATTTTAAACACAATTACTCAATAAATACTACATAAAAAATATAAGAAATCTTATATCCTCCCTATATATAATTAAAAAAATATTTTTTTTTCAATTCAACATAAGTAAATCAATGAAAATAATATATTTTTAAAAATTTTATGAACAAAAGTTGACTCGACAATATTATTAATGAATTTATGAATTGTAAATATTTATTTAAAAAATTGTAATTAAATATAATATAATATAGGATATACAAATATTTGATATATAATGAGGCAGATGATCGAAAAAATTCTATTCTTTATTTTATGTCATTTTTGACAAATCTACAGTTAATAATATGTGAAAGAACAAGATAAAGTTTTAAAAAAATATTAAATATAAGAAATTCTATGAATAATAACTAAGTTGTGACACGTACTAATAAATATAAAACAAACTAATAAACAAAAATGATATAATTAATATAACTAGATATAAACCTTCTAAAAATATACTTATCGATGTAATCGAACTAAATTGTTAAACGCTTGTTAGTTCTTTGTTTATATTAGTTTTATTTGTAAATTTGAGGTGATAGACAATAGTTATTTGTACATTTATACATGTAGATTAGAAAAAAAAAATCTTTATTATTCTAATTTTAAATAAATTTTTTATTTACTATAATATTTTTTTATATAATATATAAGTATGATATTGAACAAATAAAACAAGAAATATTTTAATTATATAATATTTAATATGTAAGAAATGTAACTCAATTGGTAAATTAATAGGTAATCTTAAGATAAAATAATGAGTGATTTCTGAAAAAAAAAAATTATAGGAACTAAAAAGTTCACGTGTTTAATATATTTTTAATAGAAAAATTGTAAACACAATTACTTAATAAATACTACATAAAAAATAATGTTTGAGAGGACTACAAAAATTTTGCTATACTGCAATGAAAAATTTAACGGTAAGGTATTCTACTGAAAATTTCAACAAATATGTTGCTTTCATTGACTATTCCAATAGAGTTCAAATTAAATTACATGAACTTTAGTGGATGTAATGATTTCAGTTATTTTTTGGACCATATTTCAATCGTTGAAAAAATTGTCATTGCTATTATGCAAAAATCCAATAAAAGTTCCATTGGAAAGATAATTGCAGTGATAAATCCAAAATAATTTTCTATTGGGAGCATTATTTAGTTAATAGAAAAAAATTTACCATCAAAATAACATGTCATTGCAATTTATAAATTATACTTTACATAATCTATCACCTTTCTCATTTGTAATACATTTTAATAAATCTATGCAATCACAATAAGGTAAAATATATTTAAGAAACCAAAAGTCAAGATTTATCTAAAATCAGAGAAAATTGCAATTGTAGTCCAGTAACTTAGGTTGTTTCCCATTTTAGTTCACTAACTTAGGCCGATCCAAATTTGGTCCAAAAACTCCCAAAAGTTAGTTAAATCAGTCCAATTGGACTAAAATTGGACTAAAATTGGACTGAAATTGACCAATCAATTGGACTGAAATTGGACTGATTTAACTAACTTTTGAGAGTTTTTGGACCAACTTTGGATCGGCCTAAGTTAGTGGACTAAAATGGGGAACAGTCTAAGTTTTTGGACTAACTTTTGAGAGTTTTTGAACCAAATTTAGATCGGCCTAAGTTAGTGGACTAAAATGGGAAACAGCCTAAGTTACTGGACTAAAATTGTAATTTTCTCCTAAAATCAACATAAGAAAATCGTTATATTTGTTGGAATTATTGTTGGAATTTTCTCATATTCTTGTAGTAAAACTAAGACTCCAAATCTATAAAAAAAAAAATGCATTATATATAATAATGTGTGCAACTATTATTATGAAAATTTTTGATACGATATAAAATATAACACATTCAATGTAATTGGCGTTCAATTTATGATAAAATTATTTTTTTTCAAAGCAAACAAGATACTTTAAAAGGTCCTTAATTATTTTATTAGTATTGTAATAACTAAATAAGGGGTAAGAATGATGACAAAACTTATAGCTCTCATTAAATCCAAAAGTAAAAATGCTGATAAAATTAATTAATGTACAATATCAATTGAAGCTGGCTAATGATAAATATAAAATATACTTAAGATACACACATATTTTAACTAGAACTTTTAAGTACGTAATACATATATATATATATATATATATATATATATATATATTATCATATGTATATTTCTTTAAAAGTGGGTATGTTAATCTTAAAATTTTTTAGTTAAGATTTTTATTACTTTCTATCATTAAATTTTTTAAGTTTCAAATACTTCATATTTTTTATTTGTTACCTTTTTATATGTGATATATCACATCATTTATTTTCAATGATGTTTGAGTTGACACATATATTGCAATAAAAGAAAAATAATATAATTATTTATATTGATATAAAATAATATATATATATATATATATATCAGTACTAATTTAAAATAATAAATTAGTCTTAAATTATATAATATAATAAATTTTATATTCAAGTTAAATCAATTTTATTAAGTATAAAATAACATGAGATAAACTTGTGGTATGTTTTCCATACATAAATATGAAACAATTCATATTAGAAAATAAAAAGTAAAAAAATGGGTGTAAACTTCTAATTGTTCCCACGTTTTGGCTAGAGCTCCCAAATCCGATATATATGTTTGACACGAGTTTGTCGTAATGCTGAAACTATGGCAATGCACCTTAGGGTACAAACGAAGCGAAGCAAGTGAAGTCATAGATAAAAGAAAAGGCTAGGCCAGAGAAATGAAATGAAATAACATTAGCTATGCGAAGTCAATTACTGCTGCAAAATGAACCCTATAATAGTGGTACCATATATGTATTCAGTGATTATGAAAATGACTTAGTTAATTAATATTTATCAAACATTGGAAAAAATTCTAAAACTTTTTAATATAATAATTCGTATAAAAAGTACAATTTTATCAAATATATTAAATTACATTTAATATTATGTGATTATATTAATTGTAGCCTAATAAATAAGATAATCTGATACCATCATTATATAAAACACATACAAAAAATAACATAATACGTATAAATGTGCTTTAGTTACTTAGCAAATAAAATATTATTTGTCTATAGAATAAGAAACAAATAGTATAATAGTAATGCAATGAGAAAAAAGAAAACATGCTAATTTTCTTAGAAAAGTATGAATACCAATATTTACAAACAAAAATCTTTTAAAATTACTACTTTTTTGTTGCTAGCGTTTAAATATATAGATTCGGTAAGAAATTGGTTCTCATAAATAATGATCATATATCATTTATTTTCAATTTTAAATAATTAAAAAATCTAAATTTGTATACATGATGTATATTTTAATCATGACTCCATAATGATAAACTTTACAAATGACTAAAAGTATCGTCATATAATGGAATTCTAATTATTCTGTTGTCAAATATTTTAACAAATGATATGTTTCTCAATATTTTCTCATTGTTTTGTTTTATCATTGCAAAAAATATATCATATTGTTCGTCTATATTCTAGATAAATAACACTGAAAATGAAATGTAGGAGTATCAAAACAGTTTTGAATGTTAGAATTAAGTTGTCACTTTTTATAGAAATATTTATAATCTCATTGGTGTATTGTGCTTGAACATATGTGCAATTAATTTAGAGGTACTTTCAGGTAATGTATAATGATTTCAAAAAATAATTTAGCGCCTCGGGAGAAGTACATGTAACCAAGACTTTGGAAAGTCAACTTTTATTTGGAGATAAAATTCATTCCCACCTCGTGGGGCGATGCATCAATGGGGTAGACACCAATATATCTAGAGATAGAGGAATGTAGTAGTTTATACAGTGATAAAAAATATCAGCAATTTTAGTGACACCGTTAGTTATTTCATAGAGATATTTATCCTTTGTTAGTAGAAGTACTTTGTTAGTAGAAGTACCTTGTTATAAAAATCATACGATCATGCAGTTTGACTATATGTTGGGTCAGAATGTTTCTTTTTTATTTTTTTTGAAACGATAGAAATATTATATATCAAAACGCACAAATGTGCAAAGACAGCCCACAACTGAAAGATACAACAATCGACTTAAAAAGTGAAAGGACAGGTCCGAGACCGCTTAGATCCTCCGCTAGCCAAGCTAGAAAAACAAAACAAGACTCAAACACGACCAAAAAACAACACAAACAACAAAACACTAAACACAAAGCTCCCCACAGAAGAATATGGAACGCTCCCCAACGAGAGAAAACCCGACACAATCGGGTTCACACAAAACACAGAATGTTTCTTAAGTGTTTGAATAAAATTGGCGTTTTGCCAAATTAATTAAGAGGAATTTTGCAATAGTATTGATGTATTGGACTCCAACGACTATGAATGTTCTTATGAGACCGTTAAAACTAAAATGAAAGAAAATATTTGTGTTTTTTTATTAGGAATTTGTTTTTTTTTATATTTTTTTGTTGGGGTTTGTAAAACGTTATTCACTATTTTTATATGATGACATCATTATGTCAATTCTAGATAAAAAAAATCACATATGAGTTAATTTTTTATTATATTTTACTTCATTTAGGCAATGATATATTTAATAAATAAATTAATTTATTATACAAACTTAATCCACGAAAATCATTCTACACCACGTGCATCGCACGTGCACTTTACTAGTAAGTAAAAATAGATAATACATCTACTAAATATTTTGCAAGACACTTTTCTCAAGCAAGCAATTTTTTTTTTTTTTTTTCTTATTCATCGGCCCACATTGATGTGTGTATACATTTATATGTGTGCGTGACAATACAACTAAATGTGTAGAGATAATACTTTAGATAGATGGCATATATATATTTATATGATATATATATTATGCATCATCATCCTTAATTAATACTAATTAAAACAAGGATCAATATAGTTATAAAAAGTGAAGATGATGATTGATTAGTTTGGTTTGGCAGCAAAGTATGCCAAGGGCCCAACTATGGCAGCATTGATGTAGGTGGTGGGCTCTGATTGGGTGTATCTTGTCCGGTCATCGGCATAAGAATCGTCTTGATCGGGACCTCCAACAACGGCCCCAGTCAGTTGGTTCGGGTCCGGATTTTGTGTGTATAAGAACAGATTGAATCCTAGCCCACATCCAAATGAATGAGATTGATTATGGATTGACGGCACAGACGCACCCCTGTGGTGGAGTCTCGTCGGATATTTCGAACCATAGCCCACCATGTAAGACATATTCATTGGATTGTCCCCTAGTATATAGTCCACCTGCATATATACACGTATATATAACTACTTATTATACCCTATAATCGATCGATTTAAAATTATATTAATTTTGACGCGCACGAAAAAAAAATAAGTTACTAATTATTAACCAAAACAAAAACAGAACAGAAAAAATACTTGTTTCTTTGCGTGGGCGCGCAAATAGCTCCCAGTGACTTGGAAATTCCCACAGGCGAACGTGTGATTTAAGGCCGACATGTATGTGGAAAAAGTCGTTAGCAAGAAAGCTGCGGATGCTACGTACTGTAAGTTGGTAGCTCCCAATATATACATCAATCCTCCTGGGGATATATGGAGATAGATCATTAACGTCATTAGTCCAAAACACATGTGCAAATGTAATTAATTAGACTTCATGATGAGTACGTAATGTGTATGTATGATCAATAATATTAATTTGAGACCTTGTGTGTATTGTGTACTCAAGTACTGGGATTTAGGCAGTATTTTGCACATGTAATCTTCCGCCTTGCGACGGTACTGCTCAAAAGTTGGGTCATTTTTAACCAAATTGCGCTGCAAATTAAATGTCAAATAAATGGTTAAAACGTACGAGTCAAAATATATATGTATATATATTGGATCGATGGATTTGATTATTAATTGTACGTATATATATACGTACCTGTGCTAGGAGAACATAAGCACCAGAATATTTGTCGTCCCAGCTGAAAGCATTTGATGGTCCATTACCACTAAAAGATTCAATCATCTTCACATATTTGTCGTCCCCAGTTGCTTTGTGCATCCATGCTGCTCCCCACAGCAACTCATCCTTCATTAAGTTCAACCAACAACATTAATACTTCTTAATTAATTCATTAATTATCTCTCAATTCAATATTTACAATAATACTTTCTAGCTAGCTAGCTAGGTACACACACAATATATAACTAACTAACTACTAATAATTAATTTAATTTTATAATTATCACCGTGTATCCGGAGTAGGAACAATAAAACGGGCATGCAATTTTGACGGAATCGCTGTACGCTCCTAGGTGGTCCACAGCAAACAGCATCACGTTTTTTGCAGTCTGCAAAAGCAGCCTGCTGTATTTGGAATCGGTTTGCCGAAAAACCATTGACGCAGAGGCCATGGCAGCAGCCATTTCAGCCGCCAAGTCAGAGCCCGGTTTTTCGCGTGTTACGTAATATGCAGTCCTATCAGTGTCCATATCCTCTGGCCTCTCCCAACACCTGTGATCCAAATACGGATTCGCTACTATTGCGTATAACTTGCCGGTAGTATTCAGATGCTGAGCAGATTTGAGCAGGTAGTCCGTGCCCCACCGGATTGCAGCCATTGCCTTGGGCAACTGGTCATCGGACCCCATTTTGTTGCCGCTCTCAATGACTCCCCAAGAAAGCACGGTTATCGTGAAGGCCATCGGGAAATTGAACTTCACATTATCTCCCGCATCGTAGTACCCTCCCGTCAAGTCCACCTGTAACATGCCATTAATAATTAATTAATTAAGATCATATTTACTATTATTGTAAATTGTAATTGTAATGACATTACTACTACTATTATTATTATTATAAATTATTATAAATTATACTTCTAACGTACCCCATCCGACTGACCATCAGAAAGTGCAGAATCGCCCCTCCAGCCGAGGGCTCGGTCGTGGTCGTGAAGTTTGCCGGATCTCTGGCCATAGAAAAATAAAATCGATTTGGCAAGGGCATCACGGTAATCGTGACCACCGCCGCCGCCGCCCCCTTCCGCTAAGTAATTACTAAGGGTTAACAATATTGTGAAACTAATTAGGAACATCAGTAACAAAAAATCAGAGCCTTTCACAAACATTATTAAGGCTGACTTTAGTTAGTTCTGCTTTGTGATGGGGATATATATATATGTGCATTCGTCGGCGGGCATATATATGCATGGGTTTATATACAAAGTTCGACGTTAATATAGGCTTTTTTTCATCGTCTAAGACATGCGTTTGATTTTTTTTTTTTTTTTTTTTTTTTTATTTTTCTCAAGTACCTTATCATCAAACTATAACTAGCTCGTGCGCATGTTTAATTATTGGAGTTTTATATTCCTTCTATTGTCTCAGGTTATTTGACTTGTTATTCGGTCTACAAGTATTCTAATTTCAGTAAACATGATTAAATTATAGTATGGAAATCGAGTACTATCTTTCTCGTAAAATACGAATTCAACTTCATCAACATTTTGCAACCTTGCAACTTGCATACATCTTGATCATATCAATGTCATTTTTATGGAAATCGATCGAGTACTATCTTTCTCGTAAAATACAAATTCAACTTCGTCGACATTAATTTTGCAACCGTACATCTTGATCATACAAATGTGTCGTTTCTTTTTTTGAATGATCGTATGATAAAGATATAGGCGAAATTGTAAAATTATGAAGTTAATGTTGCATTTTACCCA